TATTTAGCTCATAACTTGTGAATGCCTCAGCCAATGCACTTTAAATTTTTGATTCTCATGTACAGTAATGAGGATTAAATTGTAGGCTCAACTGGCATTTTCAGGTGCCCTCTGACCTAGTTATTGAGCCCATTCCCAGCATACTGGAATGACTCTGAGAAGTGTACCCCTCAAGGAAGGTTCCTTGATGTTGGTGAGGGGCTCTTGATTTAGGGAATTGGATCTATGCTCCAGTTCCCCAAATTAAGCCTGAATGCCTTCCACATACCCCCCCAGGCGCTGTATAATCCTCCGGGTTTAGCGCTTCCCCCTTGATTGTAATAATAATAATAATCTGAGAAGTGTAGAGTCATAACTTTAATTAAAAAAAGAAAAAGATGCCTTGCAGTTAAATGGCAGCAGAAATTAAAATTTCAAGTGTAGGTACTGCTGTATGACCCTTTCAGGTTTAGTGTTTTTTTTACTATAATCAAGTGTAGGTGCAGATTTTATCATTGTATGTAAAATAGTGTTAAATTTTTATTCTCCTATAGAAAGGATGATACCCCATTAGTCCGAGTAGGTGCAAATTCGAAATATTACTGAAAATGTTAAAAAAATGTTAGAATCGTATCAATTACACTGGATATGCTTTTTCTGATGGGCTTCAAACTTTCAACATTGGTGGGTTTTATTACAAGATAGCTTGATGTTCTCCAAGCTGTAAAAGTTTAAATTTGCCAATTTTATTAGTTTCCCTTGTAATATAGAATGTGCCTGCACATAGGAGACAAATTTATGAGGATGTTTCGGTCCGACTTTGACCATTAACTAGTTACACAAGAGCGAAGGTCAGGGAGCCCTGCTTGGGGAGCCATACACCAGCTTTTTTTTTTATACACAGCCTGAAGGGCAGTACTGTATAAGCCTGGTGGGTTTAGCGCTTAGTTTTGATTATAATAATACAGCCTAGAGGAAGCCAATTGCCGACTTGGAGAGAGTGGCCATCAGTCTTTTCAGGGGTTTAGGCTTGAGGTTCACCTGATCTAATTAAGAACGTCTTGTTCCTGTTTCTGTTCTCGGAGAAAACTAATTACCCACCCAGTTCTCGCCTTGTTTTGGGTACCATTCCTTCCCAGAAACCATGAAGCAGGGCACAAGTTGCGCTGACTCAAAACTTCAACAGCAAGAGCCCTTGGTTTTGTAGACTTTAGTAGGACTTCTGCGCCAGCTTTCGTCTAGTATGGACGTCTTGCTCTCGTTTAAGCATCAGTGACAAATTTCTTCCGTTCCCTCTGGGACGCCTTGTTTTCATCTACTTCGCCTGCAGAGCACTTTACATGAGTGGTACCTGCCATCGCTTAATTTTAGCCAGCTCCATTTTTTCCGCTCTGTCGATATTTATATAACGGGTTTGGTGGGAAGCCGGTTACTAAACTCGGGTGAAGTGGGCATCTCGCTCTGGTGAGGCTTGTCAAGGGGAAGTCTACCTCATCTAAGACTCCTCAAGGAAGATTCCTTGATGCTGGTGAGGGGCTCTCTAGGGCATTGGATCTGTGCTTCAGTTCCCCGAACTGAGTCTAAATGCCTTCCATCCCCCTCCCCACAGGCGCTGTATAATCCCACGGGTTTAGTGCTCCTTTGATAATAATAATAATAATAATAATAATAATACCTCATTAAGTGTGAACTTCTAGTTTGTTTCTATTAACAAATGGGCTGTATAGCCCTTGTGGCTTAGCGCTTCTTTTTGATAATAATAATAATAATAATAATAATAATAATAATAATAATAATAATAATATTTACAAATGGACTTCTGTTCCCTTTACTATCATCGCACAGCTTTGGGCAATATCTCTTCTCCGTGGAAATAAATGGTATAAAATACCGACACAATGGAAATATAAACACATGCAGTATAATGTGATCCTTTATTGACTACGTTTCACCTACACAGTGGGCTTTTTCAAGTCACAAACAGATCTGTTTGTGACTTGAAAAAGCCCACTGTGTGGGTGAAACGTAGTCAATAAAGGGTCACATTATACTGCACATGTGTTTATATTTCCATCTCTTCTCCGTACATCGGACCCCAGTGGAAATAAGTAACTTTGTCTGATTTTTGGGGTTATCGGAAATCTACACATGCTGTTATGCATGATAATGTGTGTAATTGTATTTATATATACCTATGGTATAAACCTTGGTAATAAATACCGACAAGTTGGTTTAGAAAGACACGTAAGCAAACACTATAACATATTTATTAGAAAACGTTTCGGTCCTGGGACCTTGATCACTTCTAACATACAGACCTCACTACGAAACGCAGCCCCACACCTCTAACTTCTACAGCAGGCGTCTACACTATCCCCTGTGGGTTCTGTCCCAAGAAATATGTAGGCGAGACAGGCAGAGATCTTGCAGTCCGCCTGAATGAACATCGAAATGCCTCTAACAGAGACGATGTCACCGACACTATAGAACGCAACACTGGAAACTACAAAATTTCAAAAACATTAGCATACATGATACTTAAGCAGCACCAACCCAACAACACAGGAGTCACATGATTTCATCGTCTACCCGTCCTCCTCATAGGTAGAGGTTGTTTTGATAAGGACCTGCCTCGCATGGGCCAGCAGGCCTTCTACAGTGTTCCTCCATTCTTATGTTCTTATGACATTCCTCAGGTCACGTGCGTCACATCTCACTCTCCTCCTATATATATAATGTCTTTCTACCTCTGTATGTTAGAAGTGATCAAGGTCCCAGGACCGAAACGTTTTCTAATAAATATGTTATAGTGTTTGCTTACGTGTCTTTCTAAACCATATATACCTATATCTGAATAAAGTTACTAGCAGGGATCGGTACAATATAAGCTGTCAGTGGCCCTTATAAACCCAAGAAGACTACCACCTCAGTACCAGCGTGATTGCTTGCTTGTTTGCTTGCTTAGGAAGTGAGGCGTCTGGATCTGCAGGTGTTTAAGCCTGGGGTCCGCCTGACCTAGAGACTTACGTGCTGATCTTGATAGAAATAAGTCACTGTCTGACTTTTTTGGGTTATCCTAGGATCTCTACACATATGCTGCTATGTATGATAATCTAGGTAACTGTATTTGTGTATACCTGAATAAACTTACTTTTGTCTCATTCTACCTGTGCTTTGAGCATCAGTGAGGAGATTGCAGTTTTCTTTCTTTGGGACGTTTGTCGTAAAAGTTTGAGGCCAAACTGTACGATTCGGTCAATCCCTCAGCAGCCCTGTCCCAGACCAGGCCTCCTCATAACAGTATAATATCTTTATTTCTACAAGTACATGTACAAGGTATACAGACCTAGCTGACATCAACGACATCCTACTATATAGAAAGCCACTTGATATGCAGAGCATTTCGGGCAAATTAGATCAATTTTGTCCCAGGATGACTCTCCGCAACCCTCCGCCTTGTGGCACTCGACTACACCTCAAAGTAAGTAAGTAAGTAAGTTTATTCAGGTATACACAAATACAGTTACATAGAATTATCATACATAGCAGCATATGTGTAGAGAACCTAGGATAACCCAAAAAAGTCAGACAGAGTCAGACAGACCTCTCCAGAATGGGTCTCGTGAGGACGGTACCCTCCTCTAGCATGACCATCAATGACCATTCACCGTGAAGATAAATTTCCCCAGCACTTTGCTGTCTGCTAAATAGCTGGGGAGTGGCTCCAAAACGAACCCTGTAATAGCTGCCTTTGCCCTCCTGCTTGTCGGCTGTTGACCAGCCCCGTCCATATATCGTCAGTTGCACACTGCTGGCGTGTTCTCAAGACACTCCCTTCCCTGGAAGCCAAAGAAGCTCTACAAGACAGCGTCATCCCTCAAGACATTCCCAAGCCTGGGAACCAAAGCCGGGTCGCCATAGGGCTCTGGTGGCCTGGTGGCTAACGCTCTCGCTTCCCACGGCGAGGGACTGGGTTCGATTCCCAGCCAGAGTAGAAACATTGGACGTGTTTCTTTCCACCTGTTGTCTATGTTCCCCATCAGTAAAATGGGTACCTGGGTGTTAGTCGACTGGTGTGGGTCGCATCCTGGGACACTGACCTAATTTGCCCGAAATGCAGAGCATAACAAGGGAGTTTCTATATAGTAGTATGTCATTGTTGTCAGCTAGGACTGTATACCTTGTACATGTACTTGTAGTAAATAAAGATATTATTATTATTATATGGAGAAGACCCGGGCCGGAAGTACCGGCGAATCAACATCAATCATCAACCACTTTACTGATAGGTGAATATAGACAACCGGTTTACCTGGAGAGAGTTCCGGGGGTCAACGCCCCCGCGGCCCGGTCTGTGAAGAGGCCTCCTGGTGGACCAGAGCCTGATCAACCAGGCTGTTACTGCTGGCTGCACGCAATCCAACGTATGAGCCACAGCCCGGCTGGTCAGGTACCGACTTTAGGTGCTTGTCCAGTGCCAGCTTGAAGACTGCCAGGGGTCTATTGGTAAGATAAGATAAGAGAGATAAGATTTCGTTCGGATTTTTAACCCCTGAGGTTAGCCACCCAGGATAACCCAAGAAAGTCAGTGCGTCATCGAGGACTGTCTAACTTATTTCCATTGGGGTCCTTAATCTTGTCCCCCAGGATGCGACCCACACCAGTCGACTAACGCCCAGGTACCTATTTGCTGCTAGGTGAACAGGACAACAGGTGTAAGGAAACGTGTCGAAATGTTTCCACCCGCCGGGAATCGAACCCGGGCCCTCCGTGTGTGAAGCGGGAGCTTTAGCCACCAGGCCACCGGGCCTGCTGGGAGGCAGTTGAACAGTCTCGGGCCCCTGACACTTATTGTATGGTCTCTTAACGTGCTAGTGACACCCCTGCTTTTCATTTGGGGGATGTTGCGCTTGGTTTTAATTATAATAATAATTATATTGGATCAACATTTTTCTGGATTCCCTAATCCCCGGGAGGCAGCTCACGCCATCGTAGCCCTTAATAACCACCTAAATGAAGTACTAATTCCAGCAGCAGCAGCAGTGGCGGCAGCATCAGCAGCGGCGGAAGCAGCAGCAGCAGCAGCGTGGCTGGCAGCAGTGGTGACTCAAAAGGTTTTAATGTGTCTCGCTCTGCTGGTGTTTAGGTCTGGGATTCACCTGCTCTGAGTTGGGAATTTAATGTTCCCGTTTCTCTTACATTTTCTTAATAATTCCGCCCAAATTTGGGCAATTTGTCGGATTTGCTGGTGGTAGGGCAACGTCAGCTTTGATAATCCTGAATAACTCCAACAAGAACAAGGTACGTAGTAGGTACACATTAATACAGTTTCATAAATTATATCACCTGATGCCCTCGCTTCCTTCCTGCCCTGCAGCGCTGTATAGCCCTTGTGGCTTAGCGCTTCTTTTTGATAATAATAATAATAATAATACATAAATTATAATACATAGCAGCATATATGTAGAGAACTTAGGATAACCCTAAAAAGTCAAACCCCAATGGAAATAAGTCACTCTGTTTTGGGTTATCCTAGGTTCTTTACACATATGCTGGTATGTATGATAATTATAATCTAGGTAATTGTATTTGTGTATACCGGAATAAACTTACTAGTGACTTATTTCCATTGGGGTCCTTGTGATGATTATTATTTATATTTAAAAGTTAAAAACAGGTAAGTATCTTAACTATGTAAAAGCAGTTACAATAAGATATACTTGTATTGGCATACAAGAACTCGCTCCTACCTTTCTGTAGCCTTATTCATGACATACATTTTGGCAGTCTTCTTTAACTGGCTCATGCTATGACTGGCTTTGACATGTGCAGGCAGTCTATTCCACTTTTATTGCTGAATAGAAAAAATCTCGCCGGGAATTGAACCCAATCCCTCACCGTGTGAAGTGACAGCTTTAGCCACCATGCTAAATTATCTCTGCTCTACTACAGGATCAAGCCTAGCCAGCAAAATTCCAAGTTCTAATGCCCAAGCATGTGACTTCCTGGCTCAAAATATCTCAGACTGTATCTAGCTCCAACTGATTCTATTGAGATCACTTTGATAATAAATTCACTTAAAGGCAAGGCAGGAAACTTAGCTAATTTACTACCATTAATGTATAAAGCAGTAGTTCATATAAGAACATAAGAAAGAGCACTGCACCAGGCCTACTGGCCCATGTGAGGCAAGTCTAACACACCCACCAAACCAGTGCTTGACAGTAGATCCCCTCAAGGAAGGTTCCTTGATGTTGGTGAGGGGCTCTTGATTTAGGGAATTGGATCTGTGCTCCAGTTCCCCGAATTAAGCCTGAATGCCTTCCACATCCCCCCCCCCAGGCGCTGTATAATCCTCCGGGTTTAGCGCTTCCCCCTTGATTATAATAATAATAATTGACAGTAGATGCCAATATGTCTCCATTAAGGGCATAAACTCATCAACTTGACCTATCAATATAGAGGTGCCTTTGGGCAGTGTTCTTGGCCCCTCTTCTTTTCCTCAGATATGGACATCAATGACCTTCACAATGCATCTCAATTACTTAAACCTGTTTTGTTTGCAGATGACAACTTCTGTCATCTCCCATTCAAATCTGAATTCTCCCAATAACACCATTGAGATCATAAAGATATCTGCATGGATGACTTCCAATAAACTCACGCTTTTTACAAAATTTTCTATATGATGATTGGGAACAGAGCTGCAAATGTCCAACTAAATGTAATGGTTAATAATTCTCACACAAAATAAAATAAAGGGAAAATTCTTAGGTTTATACCTTGACAGCACTTTTGAAGTTCACTGCATCCAGCATATAGGGTCTTCAAAACAGTAGGCATCCTCTCTAAGATATGTTACTGTGTACCACGAACACTACTTACTTTGTACTACTATATCTATCCTTGCCTCACCAATGGTACTTGTGCCTGAGGATCTACTGTAGCAAATCACCTGAAGCAAATAATAACTCTTCCAAAGTTTAAACTTACTCATTATTCCATACATAATATTCACTCATACTACAGTGCATACTATATATAGAGGATAGTCAATTCAAATATGAACCCAGATCTGAAACTTTTCCTTGATAGCTGCAACAGAACTCGTAGACACAATACAAAACTAAAATCTCTCTGATATTCTGTGTGTTAGACTTGACTTGTTTAAAAACTTAGTATGCATAAAAGGCTCTAAAATCTGGAACTCTGCCTGAAGATTCCAGAGGTTCCTTTCTGCCAACCACTTCAAAGCTAGTGTTAATGTGATTCTGACAGTAATATGTACTATGATAAACAAATCCTGAAACCTGCTGTTTTCAAGCAATCCTATCTTTTCTTGTTTCAGCATTATTTCAACTCTCTTATGTTGTTAGATAGGCATATACTATCTCATTATATTTTGTAATTTAAGTATCTAGTACCACTTACCCTGCTAAACTAGATAATTGTATTTTCTTATTGTGATTTTTTATGAATTAACCTATAACTTGTACAGGTCTGCCATCACAAATCTGGCAATCAGACATCCAGTTCCATCAGTTATTCAGTACTTATTTCGGCTAGCATAATTTCAAATTTCCAGGGTCGCCATACCAACCTGCATGTACTGTTTGGTGGTGCTACTTGCTGCATAAGTCACTCAAATTTCTTTTTCTCCATTTACTGTCATAACCTCCTTACGTTTTAGCCCTAGCCATGGTTCCAACGAATAAAAGAAATGTTTCTCGTTGTGTAAAGCACATACACAGTACATTGTGTACATAAAAGATAAGGTGGCTTTGAAGCTTCGAAGCAGTCTCGGGTTGCAGGGGAATAGTGTGCTTTATTATTACGCTAATAGTATCAACACTACGGCCTATTTGCCTATCACAATTGATCTAATATGACATAATAAACAATATAAATAACATAAAAACATGTTAAATACTCCAGAATTAATAATAACTTATTACCAAGCGGTTTGACAGAGGTATGAAGAGGATATGGGATACAAGTACAGTAGGGTCCCGCTTTACGGCGTTCCGCTAATACAGTGACATCAAATTATGACCAAAATTTGCTATACGGCAAGCAGTCTTTTTAAATACGGCATGCCCCACCCGGTTTGTTTACATTCTTCATGACCACATTATTATGTCTGGAAACTTTCCAAAATTTCAAGTGTTTTAAAGTTATTGCATATTTTATGTGTACTCTGATAATTATAATTATGTGTACCTGTACTTAAATATACTTATACACTGTGCTGGTGTGCAGGTACACATTAAAATCACTAAGTCTCTCTACTCGTGGTGGGCTACACCTACTGGCTACCTACACTGACTTCCTACAAATAAATACTATTCACCTCTCTTCCTACATTAAGACTACACATATTTTAAGGTAAATAGTGAGTGTACTGTATGTGTATTTTAACTCTCTGGGCTGTTTTAAATATTGCATATTAAGTATGAGATGGGGAGCCAGGGCTACCTACACCTGACTTCCTACAAATAAGTACATACTACTCACCTCTCTCCCTACATTAAGATTACAAATACATGTACTCTGAGATAAGTAATGAATGTACTGTGTATGCATTTTACTTTTTGTGTTTTTAATGCCTAGTTCTATTACTAACAATATAACTGAATATAAGTAAGTGTAAACTTGTTGTCTGGCATTTATATGCATTTATAAATGGAAAAAATGGCATTCTGCTTTCCGGCGATAGCCTGGAACCTAACCCGCTGTATAAGTGGGGCCCTACTGTACTGTACCATTCTTCTATCCCTGTCTTGGGGCTTATATTAGAGAAAACGGAGTATAGCACATGGCTAACTGTGATATACACTTGTACTGCATCATAAAACTGAAACAAAAAAGCTGTTTACTCTACATAGATTATCATACATAGCAGCATATGCGTAGAGAACCTAGGATAACCCAAAAAAGTCAGTGGCTTATTTCTAGTACTGTACCTGGCTTGGGCTTGCCATATATGATTTTTGGTAAATATTTGATTCCAGCCAAAGTATCAACATTGGGAGTGTTTCTTTACACCTGTTGTCTATGTTCACCCATCAGTAAATAGGTACCCTGGTGTTAGTTTACCTGGAGTTTACCTGGAGAGAGTTCCGGGGGTCAACGCCCCCGCGGCCCGGTCTATGACCAGGCCTCCTGGACTGGTGTGGGTCTTATCTTGGGACACTGACCTAATTTGCCTGAAATGCTTAGCATAACAAGGGGCTTTCTATATGTGTAGTAGTATGTCGTTGATGTCAGCTAGGCCTGTATACCATGTACAAGTGCTTGTAGTAAATAAAAATATTATTATAATTATTTTTTTCTCTCGGTTGTTTGTTGGGCTATCCTATTGAAACTTGGGCAATGTATGATGGAAAGATGTTTCTTAACGTACACCAAAAATGAAAGAAATTGGACCATAAATAACTGAGTTCACTTCTCAGCCATTAGCTGCCTCTTTGCAGTATATTTTTGTATGTTTTTATGGTCTCATTTGATAGAATGGAAGATATACAGAAATAGTTATGATTTTGATTGGTTTCACGACAAAAAGTACCTTGAAATTGAGCTCAAAGTAGCAGAAATGTTTGATTATTGCTGATGTTCATTGAACTTTCTTGTGTAAGTCAAGTTGGTTAATTTTATTAAATGTCTTCTAACCTGACCACTCTGTAATCCGGCACACTACAGGTCCCAATGATGCCAGATTTGTGATGGCAGACCTGTATCTATTTGTTTTATGTCTTGTGCAGTAATACTGAAATATGGATTAACATATGCATTTGTATTCAGCCAACATTTGTAATAACCACCATTACAAATGTTATACAGTAACAATGCTTTACAAAAAAAAAAATAAAAATTGCTTTGCCAAATATTCCAGTGTCATAAGAAGCAAAACTGTTAATGTCAAAGATTGTAAACTTTTATATTTTTGTAAACAATTATTCATCCAGTAATTATAAGTTACTTTGAGGCTGCCCAAAGCGTTCTTTATAACCATATGCATAAAAATAACCATTTTAATAATAATAATAATACCAGAAATGAACATTAAAATGGTATAAAATACCGACAGGTTGTTAGGTACCTAACAATAACAGAAATGCTGTGCATCCCAAGGACTTTCAGATTATTGTGGGCTTTTTATGCACAGTGATATGGAAATAGACTTTGACTTAGAACAGCAATTCGGTGCTGGTGAGTGGTAAGTAAGTAAGTTTATTCAGGTATACACAAATACAGTTACATAGAATTATCATACATAGTAGCATATGTGTAGAGAACCTAGGATAACCCAAAAAAGTCAGATTGAGTGACTTATTTCCATTGGGGTCCTTTTACCTTATTATTATAATATAAAGGTTATAATATTTTCTTATTATTCTACAATGAAGATAACATCTTATTATCATACTAAAAAGACTATCTACTACACGAGGGTCATTAAGACTATCTACAATACGAGGGTCATTACTAGGAATAAGGTAAAATTTACACATATGTTAGCTAAAAAATAGAAAATCATTCCCCTCCCTTTCTGTAGCTACATTCATCAGACACCTTTTGGCACTCTTCTTGAACTGGTTCATGCTATGACTGGCTTTGACATGTGCGGGTAGTCTGTTCCATTCCTTTATTGCTGTACAATAAAAGGTGTTTGACGCCTGGCCAATGACTGTGGGTATTACAAAGTTGTGCTCTCTCCCCCTAGTACTATGATTGCTTTGGTTCCCAACCTTGACAAAATTGACAGCAAGATATTCTGGACACTGTTTGTGAGCAATTTTATAAACATGATTTAGCTTCAGTTGTTTTACTCTGTCTTCAACATTCAGCATATCCAACTGCTGTAATTCATCCTGGCCTACATGTTCTCTTGGTCCCAGCCCCAGGATGAATCTTACGATTTTGTTCTGGGTGATTTGCAGTCTATCTTTCAGTTTTTTTGTCAAGGCAGAGTACCATGAAGAGCAAGAGTGGTTGGGTCACTGGTCACAATCTCGCCATAAACTACATTGACCCATTCGCACCTAGACTGCCCTACCATCTTTCATCACTTAACCCAGCCTAATGTAACCTAACATAGTCAAACCTAACCTAGAATAATAATAATAATGGAGGAAGTGATGAAACATAGTGGGGTGGTCTGGGTGCATATGAGTTGGTGTTGTTAATAATGCTTTGCCAAAAAAACCCAGCCACTTGCCACTGCTGAATCATTCATTGCATTGTCATCATTGTCTTTTTTATTTTATTTATTTTTGCCTGATTTTTGTTTGTTTTCTTTGTTGTGTTGTGTCTGTCAATAAAATAATGATTTCCACAATAGAAGTGTGTTGCCTGTTATGGATATTGATATTTTATGCATATATTGAGGTGAGAGTGTAATGTTGGTGGGGTTCTGTCCTGGAAATGAAATGCATTTTTATTATTATTATTGTGTACTTTTCTCATTTATGATTAGGATAGGGTTTTATTTTGACAAAATTTTATCTAATCCTTAAATAAATTTTCAGGGGCAGTTGTAATATGGAAACAAAAATTCTTTAGCTGTTAACTAGAAAAATCTAGTAGTATGTGAAGAGTACTACTACAAACATCAACATAGAAACAGACAGACTTAAACTGTCATTATGAATCATGGATTTCATTGCTTTCAGAAGAAAAAATAAAAAAAATCTTTGAAGAAAAATTCATCTGAATCTAAGTCCTGTGGTAGGAAAAAGCAGAGCAAGAAAGCTGAAATATGTTAACGCACCTGTTGGGCTTTCGCCTGCACTTTGTTGGAACTTCAGCACTGCAGCAACTTTAAAATGGATAGCAGTTTAAATGACCAGCTAAGCCAGTACTGTATGTATTAAGTTCTCATTAGTTAATCATAATCTGTTTATGATAGAAGTTTCATTTTGCTTATAGTATTAAATTTAAATTAAATGTTTGTTGATTTTCCATATTTTTTAATGAAGATCTAATATAGGGTTACCTTACACATTGGCTCGAAATTTGCCATGCATATTTTCTTAAGACCATCCATCTCCCATCAGTCATTCAATAGCCATCTTGCCAAAAATAAGTGGACATTACACTTCAAATAATTTTCCAATTTGTAATATTCCCACTCCTTCAGAATGTAGGCACTGCCCTTTCCACTTCTAGTAATCAAATCCAGTTATCCCTAAATACCATTGTAAATGTTACCTTGCTCACACCATCAGTGTGTCAAGCCATAAAAAACACTTACATCCACCTCTTCCAGTTTAACATGCTCATGCAAGCCTACTGTATACTCACATCCTAAGCACTCAAAGCCTTCTTTATCTCTTCCCTTCAGTCTTTCCTGGGAGGGCCACTACCTCTCCTTGCCACCCCTGATTTGTACACCATTTTAGTCATTCTAGTCTGCTCCATCCTCTCTTAACCCTTTGAGGGTTTTCGTCGTACTAGTACGTCTTACGCGTAGGGGTTTTTGACGTACTAGTACTCATAAATTCTAGTGGCCTCAAATATAGTGGGAGAAAGCTGGTAGGCCTTCATATGAAAGAATGGGTCTATGTGGTCAGTGTGCACAGTCTAAAAAAAATCCTGCAGCACACAGTGCATAATGAGAAAAAAAAAACTTTGATGATTTTTTTTTAATCAGCGACTTTGCAGTGTATTTTCGTATGGTATTTATTGTTGTATTCTAGTTTTCTTGGTCTCATTTTATAGAATGGAAGACATATTACAGAAATTGAGATGATTTTGACTGGTTTTACAAAGAAAGGTGCCTTGAAATTGAGCTCAAAGTAGCAGAAATGTTCGATTTTTACCAAAATTCAAAAGTAAACAAATCGTGCCAAGCGTGCAATACACGTCAACTGGTGAGTCTAATATTCTTTCACAAGTGCAGCAATAATATTTATACCATTTTTGACACTAATGCAGTAGTCTGCATAACAGTAAATCTTATATTTTTTGTGAAAATAAAAATTCAAAGTGGAAAGCAAAAGAATATAAGAGGGGCCTTGAGACATGACTAATGACTAGAGGAAATGTCATTTTAGTGCCAGGAATGTCTTTCTTGTTTATTCTGGACCCTATTCGGAAATTGGCATCTTTTGAAATTTGTGTGAAATTGGCAAAATTGCTAAATTCTGACCACTGTACTGGATAGTAGAATTTCATAAATGAGTGGTTTCTTGCACCCATTCGATAGAAAAAATGGAGTTCTATCGAAATATTCATGTTTTTTGTCGACTAGTACAGTGAAATTGGCCGAAAATGGGGCTCAAAGTGGGCAAAATCGCCGATGCGTAAACATCGCCGAGACCGCTAACTTTGCGAGAGCATAATTCCGTAAGTTTTCTATCAAATTTCAAACTTTTGGTGTCTTTATGATCGGGAAAAGATTCTCTATCTTTTCGTAAGAGAAAATAATTTTTTTTTTTTTTAAATTTGGCCGACCCTGAGAACGAGTTTCGGAGAGGGCCTGTCGACCCTCAAAGGGTTAATGCCCATATCACCTCATCTCTTTGATGAGCTCACACTGCCTTACAATTTCTGTGTTCTAAATTCTCTGCATAATATTCCCATTACACATTGCCCTTAAACATGACATCCTTATTTTATGAACATGCATTTTATGTGTGATTATAGAATGGAGTTTTAGTAAATTGGGCAATTGTATCCCCAGGGTTCTCATTTTGGGAAACATTATTTATTTGGTTTTGTTGGGGTGATTTGTCTCAGTGTTTGAGTAACAACAAAGAAGTAGAACCACATAAAATCACTATTTTTTAAACAATATATTTTATCGTGATATGAGCCTATTAATTTTTAGAATGTCATCAGGTATATTTTGTGGGGTAAAGAAACATATGCAACATTTAGGCCATTTATATTTTGGAAATGTTTTGCCTGCTTAGGTTTTACCAATCCTATGTAGAGTTAACTGAAATCAGGGCTTAATTAATGGATCGACTACATTCTCACCTGACTGTTAAGGTAAAATCATCTTTGCAAGTACACAAGAGATACTGAATCATACACAAATAACCTGCACATAGAAGAGAGGAGCTTACGATGACGTTTCGGTCCGACTTGGACCATTAACAAAGTAACACTAACCAGAAGTGGAGCAGGACGGCTATATATAGGCAGGGAGAGGTAGTGGTGGTAGTAGTGGTAGTGGTGGTAGTGGTAGTTGTGGTAGTAGTAGTAGTGGTAGTAGTAGTAGTGGTAGTAGTAGTAGTGGTAGTAGTGGGGAATTAAGGAGGTGGAGCCAGTCAAATACAAAGAAAGGGGAGCACTGCAAGGGAGCTAGGTCCCCTGAGTTTTTGCACAGTTGTATTAAACATTGCTAGCATGGCTGTGTTTTAGCACCTCTTAGGTTGTCCTCTTTTTTATTAACCCTTTGACTGTTTTCGACGTATAAATACGTCTTACGAGCCAATGTTTCTGACGTATATATACTCAATAATTCTAGTGGCTTCAAATCAAGTGGGAGAAAGCTGGTAGGCCCACATGTGAGAGAATGGGTCTGTGTGGTCAGTGTGCACCACATAAAAAAAATCCTGCAGCACACATTGCGTAATGAGAAAAAAAAAACTCTGATCGCTTTTTTGGAATAAAACGCCGATTTTGAGGTGTATTTTCGTATAGTATTTATCGTTGTATTCGCGTTTTCATGGTCTTAGGTGATAAAATGGAAAACATGTTACAGAAATAGAGATGATTTTCATTACTTTTACGATGAAAACGACCTTGAAACTGAGCTCAAAGTAGCGGAAATGTTCGATTTTTACCAATGTTCAAGAGTACATAAATCACACCACACGTCCAATACACGTCAACTGGGGAGTCTAATATTCTTTCACTAGTGCACTGATATTATTTATACCATTTTTACAATAATGCAGTCGTCTGCATAACAGTAAATTTTGTATTTTTTTGTATGAATAAAAAATCAAAATAGAAAGCAATAATAATATAAGAGGGGCCTAGAGATGTGACTAATGAACAGAGCATATGTTATTTTAGTGCCACGAATGTCTACCTTGTTTATTCTGGACCCTATTTTGAAATTGGCATCTTTTTTATTTTGCGTGAAATTGGCCAAATTGCCAATTTCTGACCACCATATTGGGTAGTCCAAATTAGTAAATGGGAGGTTTCTTGTACTCAGCTGATAGATAAAATGGAGTTCTAAAGAAATAGCTATGAGTTTGGTCAACTGGAACAATGGAATTGGCTGAAAATTGGGCTCAAAGTCGGCAAAATCGCCGATACGCATATGTCGCCGAGACCGCTAACTTCGCGGGAGCATAATTCCATGAGTTTTCGACCAAATTTCGAACTTTTGGTGTCATTACCATCGGGAAAAGATTCTCTATCATTTCATAAGAAAAAATAATTTTTTTTTTTTTTCAAAAATTGAGCGACATAGAATGACAGTTTCAGAGAGGGGCCTGAAACAGTCAAAGGGTTAACAGACTAGCTTCATCCCATTTGATGCCTTTGTGTGCTATGATATATCACATATACATAGCTGCGATTGCCGTGGCTGCATGCATACTTGTGCTCTTTAATTCATTGTTCCAGGTTTCTAGATTTCTCATCCATGTATATTGTATCACCCCCTGCAAATGATTCTGTTTACATCAGCTCCAGTTCTAACTTCTGTCTAGCCTCTTTTTTTTTTTTTTTTTTTTCTCTCTCTCCACAAGTCCTTAACCCGTAAACGGTCCAAACGTATATGTACATTCACTACCCCAGTGCCCCAAGTATTTTGAAAAATACAAAAATCTTTTTTTTTTTTATGGAAATAAAGAGCACATTTTTCTAAGTGTTATAGGATAAAGAAAAAAAAATTAGGGTTAGTACAGAGATATGAAGCTGAGAAGTTGGCACTGGATGCTCACCTGACGGCAGCCTCCAGTCCTGCCGCTTGCAGAAGTGCTGCTGATATACCTTTTTTCTCTTTTTCATATTATTTTATATAATTTTTATGTTCTGATAATTACATTTATAGTAATTCTTGTCATTTCATAACCAATCTTTGTTCTGACACTAGTATTAGGTACTGAAATTGTACTCAAATTGTCACAAACACACTGACAGGTGGACATTTGCACCTGCCTTGGCCATTTACTATTGTCTTAGAATATATACAAAGTATTTATATGTCCCAGCAATGTTTTGGACACATGGGAGTATATAAGTAGTAGTAGTGGTGGTAGTAGTAGTGGTGGTAGTAGTAGTAGTAGTAGTAGTAGTGGTAGTAGTAGTGGTAGTGATAGTGGTAGTAGTAGTAGTGATAGTAGTGGTAGTAGTGATAGTAGTAGTACAGGTCTTCCATCACAAATCTGGCATCATTGGGACCTGTAGTGTGCCGAATTACAGAGTGGTTAGGTTAGAATACACTTAATAAAATTAACCAACCTGACTTACACAAAGTCCATTGAAAATCGGCAAAAATCGAACATTTCCGCTACTTTGAGCTCAATTTCAAGGTACTTTTCGTCATGAAAGCAATCAAAATCATGTCTATTTCTGTAATATATCTTCCATTCTATCAAATGTCTAAAAAAATGAGAATACAACCATAAAAAACATGGGAAAATATACTGCAAAGAGGCAGCTGATAGCTGAGAAGTGAACTCCCTTATTTATTGTCCGTCTTTTTTATTTTTGTTGTAGTTTTGTTGCCCAAGTTTCAGTGAGATAGCCCAACAAACAACTGAGAGAAAAAAAAAACATTTACCAAAAATCATATATGGCAAGCCCAAGCCAGGTACTGGAAATAAGTCACTTTGTCTGACTTTTCTGGGTTATCCTAGGTTCTCTATACATACACTGCTATGTATGATGAT